TTTGTAATATAACTATTGTAATGTAAATTGAAATAAATTCATGTACCAGACTATGTTAGAAAAATATATTGCTTCTTTCATCGCCTTCTAATAATTTTGTTGTAAATACGAACCTTCACAAGGAGGTATGTAAAGTCATTTATCTGACTCCAGCTTTGCTTTAACATGGTTTCAACCAGCTGGAAGGCAGGATCTTGGACTCTAACAGCAGACTTTTCCATTCTAGGCAAAAGACAGGTCTGTGCACCCTGTTGTGAGCTCTGCCATGTTTCCAGTGCAATAGTCTTCTCATGCCTCAAAATGTTTGACAACAGCCGTGCCCAGCCTCTCTGAGGAATAGGACAAGGGGTCACCTGGGAACGAGCTGACTGCTATCTGTACCTCCGTCCGTCTTGACCTAACACAAACGCATGGGCTTGTTGCATGCTTAGTTGTGTACCCACCTTGTCATGGTTTCTTGGGAAGGGCTCGGCTATGAATAGTCTGCAAACTGCTAGAGCAAATCATCAGCTTTATCAGCTGCTTCCAGATGACAGAACTTTTGGGAAGGAGAGCAGCAGAGAGTGAGTCACAGGCTGAGTGAGGTGATCTGTGTGGTCATCTTCCTCTTAGAGATACTTGAAATGAAAAGAGTGATTGCTCAAATAAGTTAAAGTCAGGGGAAATCCTCTCTGAAACCACTACCTCAACCACTAGTTGTTCCAAATGTCTTTGACACTAATTTTGAAAACTGTCCATCTTCTCCTAAAAGTTGCAAGTAGCAGCAGCAAGTGGCCAGAGCAGTGTTGTCCATAATGACACTGCTGTTGTCACGGTGGGCGTTGTGGGTCGGGTGGGGAACAGGTGTGGCAGAGGAGCAACGAAGAGGGAAGTTCACTCTTGTGAAGACGCAGTGAGCAGGAGGCTGCGCTTCTGGGAGCGGAAACACAAGGCTGTGCCCCACGCACAACTTGCTGCGGCAGATCTCCTTTGGTCGCCTTCCCTGTAGACCGTACTCCAGCCAGCACGAGCACGGCTGTGCGATAACGTTTCACTTCCCTCATGAGCGACAGGGCAGCTCCTCCCCACACTCTTGCCACAGCCTGTCTCCACCCACGTGCCCTCAGGCCCGGCAGCTGCCCGCTGTGGCCTGGCACGGTCCGGAGGCCTCGTCCCCGTGGACACGGCTGTCCTGCGCGCAGGAACGCCACGCCGAGACCCCGAGGCAGCTGCTGGGCAGGTTCGCTCCCAGCCTGGCAGCGATACAGCTGTGTTGGCATGGCATTCACCTCCCCTAGTTAGTTCTGCCGAGGCGAGTTCTTCGCAGTTATGTCTCCATAATTATTTCCTTCTCTGGTGTGGCAGCAGGGACCACACGCTGCCCCGAACACCACGGGAGGAGCTGTGTGTTACCTTCTGCTGCCGTATGCCTGGCCCTTATGAAAAGCCCAGAACGACAGGGAGAGGGAGGGCAGGAAAAGGACCCAAAGGTGTGTTCCTTCAACACCTCCTGCTTGACACTTGAGCCCTGGTTTCATGATGGTCAGGTGTCACAGGGGACCAAGTTACAGGGTGAATCAAACTCTATATTTAGGAAGAACAACTGGAAGCTATGACAGGAATTCTCTTTTACACTTTGCTTCTCAGCCGAGTCCCACTCCAGCCTGGAGCAGCTCTCAGCGCCGTCCAGGCTGAAAGCATCGGAGCTATTTCAGACACATTAAAAGGATCGCAGTCAATACCTCAGCTGGTAGAAGAAGGTACCTCTTTCAGCATCAAAAGGAGGTGCACATACTCACTTGACGGTTTGGAGCTTTTCTTATATCAGTAAATAAGTAAGCTAATCTTGAAGGGGTCAGTTAAAACCTTGAAATACCCTTATGAAAACTCTTTAATAACTGCTGTGATGTGACTACACTAGTTGTAGGTTTCTGCTTATCTTAATGTCTTGTGCAGCATATTAGCATATTCAGAGCAGATTGTTATAGTTATTGCTTCATAGTCTGTGGGGGATCTGTAAAGATTTAAAACAGAAAGTCACTAGTGATTCATAAGAAGTGTAACTGTGTATTAGCTTGGATACTGTATTATATAGGTACATGTTTATTTTTTTCTACATGTTTGTTATAGCTAGTGAAATATTACATGGGAGTTTTGATTGTAAGAGAGATGTTTTTCACTGTAAGCTTAACAGGTAACTGTAACGGAGTCACTGCATTACAGAAAATATGATTGCGTTTGCCTAGAGCATGTAGTAAGTTTTTGTGTAACAGGCTGGAAGCTACAAAGTGGGGGTTTCTCTTCTTTATTTGTACTAGCTGGATCTCGCAGTAGTGTAGTTCCTGTCAAAGCCTTTTATTAAGATAATACACTGCAGTTCTGTGTCCAAAATAGCCGTTGTGCTTGATGCCATGAGTGCGGCAGGGGGGAAGGACGGCTTCCAGCTGGGGCAGGGGGAGGGCTCTTTCTGTTGTCTGTGTGCTACTGTACATCTCTTGTGCATATTACAAAAGATGGCATTATGATATCACATCGTATTTGAAGAAAATTGAATAAATCAGCTTATTATCTTGCTGCAACCATGTCAGAAATTATTTTTAGCAGAGGAACAGAAGATAGGTCCTTTGTTTCATGAAGTTTCTTTTCAAAACACTGATTGATTTCACTGTGGTAGTCCTGTGTTTCACGAGTAGTCCTGTTCATGAGTACTTTCACTGTGAAGCAAGGGAATTTGCAGGGGAAGTCTGGCATAAAACAGCTCCAAACTGAACTGACGTTGCCATTGCTTTCTAAGTTTGGCTCAGCATGCAGCCCATAAAAGGTAAAAGGTAAGGTGTGGGGAGGCCAAAAAGGCACCGGGGAATATAGGCTGCGTGCGTCTGCGTTTCTCTGGCTGTGTACATGTGAAATCCTGCCATGGAAATGAGGGTGAAGAGTGATTTTTTTCAAGTTTGCAGAGCTGATTGGAATGCCAGAAATAACCTAATACAATCAGTGCATCACTCTTCACTCTCTCTCTGAGTCACGTGGCAAAAGAACAAAGGAATTTATAAAAATGAACTAATCACTTCAGTAATAGATGCATCTGTAATCTAAGGTTTATTTTTCCTGTGGTTGATGGTCAGTATTGCTCTGAAGGGGAACTCAGGGAAGGGAGGGAAGGGGAGAGAGCCAGAGAAGATTGTCTATTTTTACTCAGTAGCATGCTGTTGTCCTGATTTCTCTGGCGGTAATGAGGACATCACGAACTGGTAGGAGAATCACCTCCTCCAAAAACAGTCCTACACAATTGTATCATGCATCCGTCTTTAGGAACTGGTGTCTGATTGCAATCATTTCAAATGCAGACTTCTCATGAACCTCACTGAGGAGCACTATCACTGGGTTTGTTTTAGAGTTGGGATTCCATGTGAATCCTTGCTCATTTATCTCTAGGTGGCCCAAGAAGTGTGTACTGGTGTTTTTGCAATGCACAGCCATGCAAGATGGAGAAGCACAACTTAGCATGAATTTCTTTGTGACAGTATTTAGAAAGTAGGTCCATGGTGGTTTAAAATGTTTTATGTTAATTTCCTGTGCTTTTGTTTTCATTTTTCATTCTGATTAGAAAGAGAAGAAGACAATAAGAAAAATTAATTAAACTTTTCTGATTTACTAATTTAGTGGAAGCAATTTAAACCAGAAGCAACCTATGAAGGTGACGTCCTCTGACTTAACGCTGTGTTGGTTTGGACAGCACTCTTGACAGCTGAGAGTGCGATCAGAGGGAGACCTCTAATGGCAAGCCATTTTTACTTTAAGTTCTGCTTAGCATTGTACACAGATTTAAAGCCAATGTGAGAACATGCAAGTCTTCCATGCAGCTCCAGTGATGCAATTTCAGGCTGATATTCCAGACTGAAGCCAACCTACAACCCATCTATACTTTTCTTTGATACCACCTCCGTGTGACAGTTATACTCTTTGGAGTACCAAAGCCTTTGTCCCACTTTTGATTTCTCAGTATATTTTTACTGCTCTCTCCTATGTCATTTATTACTTTCCTCAATATTTTCCTTCTCATGTCAGGTTAAATATAGTAGCAAAAATGTTCTCTAGTTTGGTTGTGATCAGTGAGTTCGCTGGTGAAATCATTTCTCACCTTTTAGTATTACTACCTTATTTTGTATTATAATGGTTAACTAACCAGTCTTTGATGAAGGTCTAGTCCAGTTAAAATCTTAATTCTCTGTGAAAGAATAAAAGGCCGAGGTGATATTTCAATTAATCTGATAATAAAATTTATTGTGTTTTTAAAAAAAATCTACAGAATATTTTGACTTTTCTGTATTTCCCTTTGTTATTGTATATTAATACTGTATCAGTCCATATTTCTTCACCTGCATAAAATTATATTGAAAATTCTGTTCTTTTTTACCTTATTGCTAAGGAAAACCGATGAATCTATATGATCAAAAACCTTGAAGAGAAGCTACTTTGTCCCCTAGCAATTTTCAAAGACAACTTTACAGTTTGACCACCTTGATCATTTTCAGTCTATAGGTATTAAAGATTTGCAAGGATTTGTGAGTCAGAAAATGGTTATTTCTGCATTTATCAATGTTTTGTAGCAAGTTGTGCTGTATTTGAAAGAAGGTTTAAGATGAGAATTCTAATAGTTCCCATGTACGTACCGTGACAGAGATAATCATACATTGTTTATCCTCAAATGCTTCATTTAATTCTTACTCATTTTACAATGCCGTTAAGGTTCAAGAGATTCCTTATCTCTACTCATTATTGTTTTTAATGTGAAAGAGATAGCTCCATTTGTGGTTATGAAAGATTAATTGGAGAAGCTCAAGTGTTCTGTCTCCTGATATTCAGAAAGAATAACTAAGCAACTCTGAAACTGAGATGGAAACAGGAGCTGGGCAGATGAAATGGATGCCTGTCAAGAGGCAGCATGGGTTAAGTTCTAGCTTATCTCCCTTAGCTATCAGAATGTCAGAGCCTGTAACACTTTCCCATTTTGCTTGCAGGGATAAGCCTCTGTCTTAAAAATGTCAAAACAACCAGCGTCACATGTCAAAGCCATTCAGGTAAGAGACAGTATTTATGCTTCTAATATAATAAAATAATAAGTCTCAACCTCCATTGCTTGGCAAACTGCATTTTTGCTCAGACAAAACACTACAGAAATGCTAACTAGGGATTATTCTTTCAAAGTTAAAAGCTTGGTAGATATTAAAGCACTGAAAAAGTTTGGCCTGAAGAGCATCTTATGATCTGAGCTGATAAAAATCTGGATCAGATAGGTTCGTTGATTGCTTGCTTGCTTGCTTGCATGGTCTTTCCAGTGTTAGGTTATGCCTGTTGGTAGATCAGCTAAGCAGAACACGGTGTTACATCTGCATAACTGATCAGCATTATGAGCAAAACTAACTCTTGCAACTATTAGATTTTCCACAGAATTAATATAATGCTGGAAGAATTATAGGCTAAAAAGGTGATGGCATAGGTATTGGAAGTTTTTCATGTCTGCATTCCTGTAGGAAAAAAACCCACAATTTCCAAAATTTTTTTAAGAATAGTTTTATTTAAAAGCCAAAGTAAAATGAGAGAAATGTTGATGTTTTCATTTAAAAAATTATTGTATGTCACATACCTCCTCAAATGGCATATGCTTATAAGGGTAATGTTGGTTGTTACATACTTGTAAAAGAAACATCTGGGGAATTACCCTGTCATCATGAAGTAGCATCATGAAGAATGTATTTAACTCATGCTATCATTGATTCTTGTCAAAAGGCCAAATACCTCCTGAACTGCAGGACTTTACAGAATTTTCATGTATTTTGTAAAATGCACTTGCAATGAAATTTTACCATAAGTTCAGGTTCCCTTGAAATTACGCAAGAAGCACAAAATGGAGTTTCTAAAGACTCATCTGTCCTCTGTTTCTTCAAGATAATACTAACTCAGTGGATTGGAGTATCAAGAAGATTAAATTCTTTTCATCATCATCAAGTCTACTGGAACAGGCATGCAAACTCTAACTCATTGTACTCTAATTCAGTTGAAATTAGCAGAAGTTTGTCACTGATTTAACTCAGTTCAAATTTTCATCCCTCTTTTACAGTGACAATGGAAATATTTGTATGATTAATGAAAATATGTAGATAATTTATAGCTCAGAAGTATATAAATTTTACAATTAAACTCCATAGGCACATACAACTCTATAGGCGTGTACAAACATTTTTAAGGAATGAATTTGGTTTACTTTTTTCCTTAAAGAAGTAATTATAAACTTCTTTTTATTTTTATGATGACTTTCCAACTTCTAAATGTAAAGAAATGCTTCTAGTTTGTCCATTGAAAAAGTTCATTAAGTTTCAGCACTAAATTTAATATTTTAATAAACTTAACTTTTTGCAAAGGTAATTTGAATCATGAGAAAATTACAGCAAAAACTTTAAAATAAATCTATTAAGCATTGCATTAAAGGTTGCTCCAGCAGGGAGATATGCACTTGAATTCATGTCTATTACACTTTGAGCACTCTGAGAACCATGACTCAAAATGTTACGTTACTTTTATATGTTCTGATTCATATATTATGATACTTTGCTATTATGTGCTATTATAGTAGGACTGACATCCCCTGGAGAATATACATCATGGTGCAGCGATGGAAATGTAATGACACTTTACTAACTGAACGATTTCATGGTACTCCATGTCAGAAGTGGCTTCTTTCTGACCGTATGAGATGTACGCTGAAATCTTCACTTGCCAACAGCCACTAAATACAGGTGTGGGATAGTTAGAGGTAGCAGCCTGCTCCCAAGAGTAGTTCGGGGCAATAGAGGACCAAAGTACTGTTAATTCCTGGTGACGTTCATTGCTGGCCTTCCCCTCAGTGTGTAAAAGGCTGTGTACAGCTCTGGCTGAAAATTATTCTACTTACACCACCACTCTTGGCTTTCCCCAGAGGTAAGGGTGAGGGGTTTCCTACTTTTTTTCTGAATTACATTCGGTTTTCTCTGTAGTTCCTTTATTATTTTTTTAAATTGAATATGTTTATACTGAAGTGGCTTTCCAGTTTATTCAGTCATCCTTCTGGACAGCTAGGAATGCCTGTGACGTTGTGAAGAGTTTATCCATAATTGTCCTCAACTCATGCATGGCTGCATGAGTTTTATCCTAATCTGAATAACCTGTCTCTATTAAGCAAAAAGAACAACACAAAGAAATCTCTAAATAACAGTTTAATTGAGTCAAACCAGCAATATATGTTGTGTGTCATGCTTACATATATTTTCCCTTCAGTCTGTTTAGGAAGACCTTGGTAAAGTACATCAGTACGCATACCTACTCATTATGAAATCTTCAGTGACATCCAAAATATGGTAGGCACTTTCCAAAAAACAAAGGAAGATGCAAACCCAATAGTTTTAATAATTAATATGATTAAAAATAATAATCACACCAGAAAGTCTGCCTAAAGCAATTATAACAGGTTTTCAGGAGTTTGGAACAAAAAATTTCCTGCTTAGCATTTTCCTGGATGGGGAGCAGGCAAAGAAGAGGAGATCACTGAGGCTCATATCTCCATCCCAGCAGACAGGTGACAAGAGCCTTGAAACATGTTTTGAAAACAAAATGGCAAACTTGTGCTGATCGCAGCACAACAGAGTCCTTGCAGAGCTACAATGGCGTACGGAATTCGGTCCACCCATTACACAGCGGCTCATCTTCAGGAGGAAACAAGCACTGGATTAAGAGGGAGATTTAGAGCTCAGGACTCTGGTATCTCTGGCCAGGAACTGCTCAGAAATCAGTCATATTTTCATGTCATACTATAAATATTTTAATTTATAGTATATGTTTTCAGATCCAGACAGTGTTAAACTATGTCTTAAAGGCTGCTCGTTTTACCAAGTTAATATTTCATGCCTGCGTACATCTTGTCTAAACTCTGATGTGAATGCTCTTATTTCAAATAAAATAGTACAAACTGCTTTTGTGTGACACAGATTATGGTGACAATGCTGAAGCAGACCAAAGAGCATTTTATTTAATTTAATTAGCAGTCTGGCACTTAGTAGTTAATTTTTGTTTCCTGAAATATTTTTAGCCACAGTTGGTCTGTCAGTCACAGTAGGAAATGCAAGGGCTGGGTATCAGAATTACCATGCTGTGGTATGCCCTGGGTGGCCGTGGGAGGCTGCCTCTGCTTTGATTGACCCCAAGGGCAAGTAATGCCTGGGTTCAAAATGAGCATCAAGAGGAGAGATAACTCTTAATGTTTCAACTCTGCAAACCTGTATGACCATGCTAGCTGTAAAGTGCAAAGAAGTTTCATATTCCAAAAAAAGAAGCTTCCTGGAGGTACCAGAGCCTGGCAGGGGAGATGCTTAAAATTAAAAATAGCAAAGCTGTTTTTTTCCACTCCTGTATGAAATAATGGGTTAAGTAGAGTGAGGCTGAAAATGCCCTGTCTCCTGGGCACCTAGGAAGTGCAGATGAAAGGTTTCACAATATCCAAACTAATGCTCGGTGAAAAAGCATTATGAAATAAATACCCAGTTGTCTATAAACTACGTAGCCCTACAGACATTTGCCAGCCCCACTGAAATGGCAGCATCACCTTGCCTAAATAAAATAATAGGAAATAGATAAATAGAACAAAGGGAAAGTTGCTTATTTTTTAACATATGTATTCTTAATTTGCTCAGCATTTGATTACAGCTGTCAGAACAGTTGTCACTGAAAACAGTGGGCTGTTTTCCTCTGGTTGTCCAACCTGGGGCACGATCTGCAAGACCGCGATTTGAGCAGAAGGATGGGATTATTCATCTTCGTATAATGCAAATCAGTCAGATGGTAAACTACAATAACACAGCTCCCTGTTGGAAGGTTCTCCGCTTCCGCTCCGTAACATTACCGATTCACCCCCTGGTTTTACCAGTGGGAGTCATGATATTTTGATGACATTTCCTAGCAGCAGCTTCTCTTCTGAGATCACAAGATAAGAATAGGTATAAATTGTGCATTTAGTTGATCATGCTATTTGACTTTTAAAATAATCCAGGCTGGGCCACATTGGGAAATAGGTACATTTTAGCTTTCTTTCCTAAGCAACATTTTCTACCATTCTTTTCTCAGAAATCTTTACTTTTAAGGTATCTATTATCAGCCCCATTTATGTTATGGCTACTGGCTTTCTGCCACAGATAAAAAGCCAGATTGTTGCAGTCATGTGGGTACCATTCTGGAGAGAGTTTGCTGAAGCTGGGGGCTAGCCGGCTCCAACTGGTGAGCCCCCACTGCAGATGGGGCTGGGGTAGCTGTGCAAAACCCAGCAGGGGCTGGAGGGTCAAAAAGCCTTCCTGCATTTTCCCACAGGTCCTCTTTGCAACCGAGGTGTATTTCTAAGACTAAGGCATTACATTTGCAGTTTGTAGCACCCATGGGTAAATTCTGTCAGTAAAATCACATTTTAAACACTCATGGCTTAAGTTGGCTCAGGGCAGGCTTTCCTTCTTAACTACCTGTGATTAAATAAGGTGAGAACTGGTGTCACTGGGGGAGGGAGAGTGCTCCAGTGGTTTGGGTGTTATTGTAGGATTTGGGTGATTTACACTTAAATGCTGATTCTGGCACTCACTTTCTGTTTGACCTTGACCAAATCAAAGCAGGCCCAGATGCCTAAAGACACTTTGGTGTCTAGTACTCATTTTTCCAGTGAAATCGGGGAGCATTAGACTAAAATACAGAACTTCAAAAGCTTTCTGAGTAGCTTTGTGTTTTTACTTTCCGTCTTTAAAATGGAGATGAAAGCACTTCTCTTTCCCACGGGAGTGGTGTAATGATGCATACATTGAAGTCATAAGTGCTCGGAAACCACAATAATGTCTATACGCTTGTCCCACCACTTTTGAGTTTTGCCATTTACCAACTGTATGTTTAGTTATCAGTCACTTTTATATGCATCATAATTTCCTTCTCACAGGCTAATATTAACATACCAATGGGAGCATTTCGACCTGGGGCAGGCCACCCTCATAAAAGAAAAGAATTTACACCTGAAGAAGTGGAGGAGGTAAGAAAAAAAGGGGGGATTGATTTTTTTTCTTTCAGAAGAATCCCTGCCATTGATGGAAGAAAGCCTTTTAATCAATCTTATAGCACTACATACCAGTCTTGGGTATCAGAGCCAAACATGCACTGATCATTCATGGAAATAACTGGCCACCTACTAAACACTTCATATATACATTGTTCTGGTTTTGATGCCAAGTCACTTATAGGAATTTAAACTGTTTCAGAGGTCCATAGCTCTGCTTCAACAGCAGGATGATATCTGCTGTCAGGAAAGAGAGCCAGGATTTCACCAGCAGTATTTATCTAGGTAGGAGTTGATGGGATACATTGGGGAAAATTATAGGAAGGCTTTGGAAGAATATGCTACTACCTGCTGCCCTGCGGTGGGATTTATTGTTACAGCTTAACAATATTGGATCAGGTTTTCAAACCTGACATTTTTTGGAATATTTATCAAGAAGGAGAAATTGAATACGGAGACTATACACTTGCAAATTAAAACCAGAAATTGTGAACCCATTCACCTGCATGGGGTAAAAATATTCAATTTTACATTGAATTCTGTGTTTGCGTGCCTGTATTTTACAGGGAGTATTTAATACTAAGTTTTGAATATGAAGTCAGATTTATACCTTAACCAACCAACACTGATCACAAAGGTTATGATTAAACACAGGTATCATATTTCTGGATGATATTAAAGCACCTTATTTACCATGACATTTTATAATAAGTAAGAACTAAAACCAATGGTGGAGGAAAAGGTAGTGAGATACTCCAAACAAGAAAAGAAATCAACTAAAGATGGGTACTTATGGCTTCCTGGACAGCTGGCTAAGCTTGGTCTTATCGTCCCCACCTGGGAACTGGTCCTGCTGGGCCAGAGCTGCGGATGCTGCCCTGAGCCAAGGGTGGGAAAGGCTCATCTTAGCCCCACGCAGCCGGGCTGCCGCTGGCAGGACCCAGCCGGGTGGGCTTGCTGCCACGCGGGACAATCAAAGCTTCTGCTTCGTGGCTGGAGGGAGCCTTGCCCTCACACGGAGCTGAGCTGAGCTGAGCTGAGCCGTGAGGACTGGGAAGGAGGTGGGTAGCCACTTCTCCCCAGGCATGCAGCAGCACTGCTGGTGGTTCAGCCCCAAACAAGAAGCACCCAGTTTAGTTTTGGACAAATCATCAGCTGCTTCTGGCACAGGCACTTAGAATGGTCAGGTTCAGTTATGTAAGAGATAATCCTTCATGTCCTGTCTAAATCAGATTTATTTTTTTTTCCTGAATGTTGACATATTTGATATAAATAGTGCTCTGTTTACAGAGAACTTTCATGAAGAAATCAAACCCAGGCTGACTTAACTCTTAAGATTTTAAAAAAACAAAACCAAACATACAATGTGACCTTGAACTCATATCGTGGCTTTCTCCCCTGGAAAGAAATCAAAGCATATTCTCTCCACAGTAATTAAACTGGTGAAGGAATGCATGTTATTAAGCAGAAACTAATATAGCATGTGTGAATTTTGGTAGTATTTGAGAAATAAAATAAATGACTAGTGCTGATAATTAGATTTGGTTGGGTAATTGGATATTGCTTTGCTTCTCAGTTATGTGAATACTATATATGAGACAGGCATTAGAGAATGAAAGTTCTTGGCCCTGGTTTTATATCCAATATGCAATGAAAGCAATGGGAGTAAAGACTACAGAAACATCTTGTAACAGGAATAGAATAAAAATGCTACCAGTGAACTTATCTTTTTAGCTTTCTCATCTTGTTAAGTTTTGCAATACAGCTTATGATTCTTTAGATCAGCTTTAGACAACCACAACTTTTGCTAACAGTACTTAGTATGTTTCACTATATTTTAAAACCTTGGCAGAGGAGATGAGGAAAATACAGGTCTTACTGTAAGGGATGGTGGATTCAGAGGAAACACGTATTTTTGAAGGTCATTAGAGCAGACATGTTAACATGCAAAAGAAATGGGGGGTGGGAATTTCAGAAAATAACTGTTCTTCAGTCAGAGCATTTCCATGCAAGTATTTGTTAACTCTTGTCATATATCTATGTCACTCTGTTAGACTTCTTCAATAAAACTGAAGGCCAAGGTCTGATCTCAGTTGTGCATTGCACACAGAGTGGGTGATATGAGGGGGTGCAGTCATAAATAGCACACACCTGAGATTAGAAGGGAAAGCTAACATCAATTTATGGAGCACAAAGTCTCCAAAACATGGTCAAAGTTTGCACTGTTTGTTCTACGAGAAGGAATGGTACAGTATATAACTTGAAACAGTATTTTTAACACAGTATCTGCTATGGGGGCTTGGGGAATGGTAGTTTTTCCTGATTATTCAGATTAGCTAGCTGTGTAAGATAACTGTCAAATGAAACAATATAAGATCATGGATTAAAGATCAGATAGGAAGAGAATGTTAGTTTTCTAAATTTTCTTGTTTATTTGCCACTCGGCATTGCAAAAAGTCTGCTTCCTCATTAGCACAGGGTTCATTAGTGCTAAAAAAGAGGGGTTTGCTGACCAATATGTGACAGATAACTTTGTAATTTTAAAAATTAAGTAAGATATTAAGAATTGACTGTTCAAGATCCATACACCTTTCAAAAAAGGGTGGCTAACAAATCTAAATACTGAATTAACTCCAAAAAAGCCAGCCCAAAAGGACATTCACAGAGTAATCAAAAAAGAAAAAATAATTTTACTGTGAAATTATTTGTAGTAAAATATTAATTAATCTCTAAATTTACATGATTCCACCTCTATGCCAGATTTATAAAATACAGAATAGGCTGGATGAACCTTAAACTCCTTACTGGAAAGCTACTCTTTCAAAACATTGTTCAGTCTAGAATAGAAATTGTCTAAAATAAGTGCTCTACCTCACCTAGGAGCAATAGTACAGCTGAGGAAGTACCAAGGGCTGAAATAGCGTGGTCCATTGGGAAATTAGCTGAGATGCTTGCTATTGTGTAAGTGCTGTTATTTAGCCTGAATTTTTACAGTGTCAGCAAAATAGCTGTCAGGCACTACCCTAATTCAAACATAAAATGACAAAAACCCTTCTGATCTTACAACTGAGGTTAAGTAAAATTAAACATAACTTGAACTCAGCTTGGATGGAGGTCCATAACCTACTATACTAATTTTGTTATTAATTCTAAGTCCTATCTACTATACTAAGTTTGGGGTCCATAACCTACTATCATAGATTTTCTAAAGAGCTGCAGAAGTGCATGATTGTTTCCTCTCCAACTGGCCAGCAACTATGAGACTTTGAAAGAAATTATATGATAAAAATGGTTCTGCTTTTTTCCCTAAAATATGAGGGACCTGAGAGTTGCCTTTAATGCTCCACTCAGTTAATTTTCCACTAATGGTCTGACACTGTCAATTCTTACTCATTTGCCAAAAGATCCATATTTCCCTGCACTGAACACCTTAAAACTATTTTTTGCGGAGCCGCGAACGAACGACACGCCGAGACGGGTTCAGTGTGGGTGATAGAGCATCAATCAACGTGTGTCTTTATTGGTCCAGGGTACATATATTTATACAGACAATGATAATTATTATGCCTACTAGTCACTAGCTGATTGGCTTAAGCTCTAAGGGTCGTATTCGCACGGTCCACCTACTTGCAGTTAGCTTACAGCACAAGCTTCTCATAACACTAAGTTTCTCATGCTACTATTTCTGATTCCTGTTGACTTGTTTTCGATACACGACAGTACCGTAACACAATGTTTCTCAGACCACCATTACCATAACACTAGGTTTCTCAGACCACTATTCCTAATTCCCCTTAACCTGTTTTCGACACACCACGGTACACAGGGCTGAAGCATCCTTGACATTCCTCCTGTATCAGCAGCTGCGAGCAGCTGCAGGCAAACCCTAGTGAGGCCCAGCATCAGCAGCTAGAGCAGGCTCTGATCATACAATTGCTCGGTGGGCTCAGGACCCTTGTCTCTGAGCCATTCTCCAACAATTCCCCCTTTTCCTTTTTGTATGAGCAGAGCCTGCGCTAACGTTCATTCAAAGATTTTCTTAATACATGACAAGGCACAACTTAGGCATGCAGGCTTACAATCTACTGGCTAAAGGCACAGGACCCTTGTCTCTGAGCCATTCTCCAACAATTTTTTTTTTCAGAAAGTTTTTAGACATTTTAGACAACAACCAACAAAATAACCTATCTCTTCCTGCCCTCCCCCTTGCCCCCCACTAGCTTACATTGAGATTGTATTTATTATCAGAACATACTTTCCTGATTCTCAAATAACTGACCTGTGCTCATGCTTGAGAGATTGATATTGCAGCAGTAAGGTCACTGGTATCCTTTTGTGCAGAGTGTTCCTGCTTTGACAGAGGAGGAGAAACACAAGAAACATCTCCCAGGAGCTAAGAAACTTCCAGGCCCTGCTGTCAACTTGTCAGAGATTCAGAACATAAAGAGTGAGCTGAAATTTGTCCCCAAAGCTGAACAGTAGCTGGAACAAGCAGGTGAGTAAGAGAGGTTTGTTGCATGGCTCTAGAAAAGCAGGCTGATCCAGAAACCTCTTTATGTCAAAAGATGGCTTTCCAATTACTTCAAAGGACCCAGAATTACACCCTGTATTTCAAAGACAAGATAGAAGAAAAGGTCATAGACATTAAAATTTTCTGTTATTTCAAACATGGAGCATATAGGAGACTATATCTGATGATGTATGGCACCCATCAACAGGCTTAACAAGAAGTATATTCAGCTGTTAGGAATATTGAAGCCAGCTTAAAAATACCAGCTTCTTGTTTCACAAGCACAAGGTCCAGTTTTACAGAATATAGGACTTGTATTTGTACACTCTAACTACAGTGTTACTACACTCTAAATACATGTTTTACAATGCAAATAAATTTATTGCAGTGATGAACAAGTAGATCAGTATTTTTAAAAAGTGCCTTTGGGACATTAGATACTTGATCTTATTTCTGTAATTCAAAACGGACATGCTAATGGCTCCACGTATTTGATCAAACAAATATATCCAATGCCACTTGTGGCAGCCAAGGACTTGTTATATATCTATGCAGGGCTTGGAAATATGTTATAGGACCTTGGGGAGATCTGTGCTCCTCCGGAGTGGCAGCTGGAGAGCAGGTAGGGATCCTTAGGCACTGCAGACGGCACCAGACACCTATGGGTTGAGCCACTGGTCTATGACTATCACCACAGCAAATACTTCATCTTAATTTGCTCAATGTCCTGATGGAGATCAGTGATGAGTGGTGCTCCTCAGGGGTTTGTAGTGGGACCTGTACTGTTTAATATCTCTATCATTGACATAGTGGGATTGAGTGCACCCTCCACAAGTTCACAGATGACACCAAGCTGAGTGGTGCAGTTGACACACCTGAGGAACCTTGACAAGCTCGAGAAGTGGACCCATGTGAACCTAATGAAGCCCAACAAGGCCAAATTCAAGGTCCTGCACCTGGGTCAAGGCAAACCCCTGGTATCAATACAGGCTGGGGGATGAAGGGATTGAGAGCAGCCCTGTGGAGAAAGATTTTGGGGGTGAAAAGCTGGATATGAGCCAGCAATGTGCACTCACAGCCCAGAAAGCCAACTGTATCCTGGCCTGCTTCAAAAGAAGCTCCGCCAGCAGGTAGAGGGAGGGGATTCTACCGCTCTACTCCGCGCTGGTGAGACCCGACCTGGAGTGCTGTGCCCAGCTCTGGAGTCCTCAGCACAGGAAAGGCATGGACCTGTTGGGGTGGGTCTAGAGAAGGCCACTAAAATGGTCAGAGAGGTTGAGCACCACCCCGTATGAGGACAGGCTGGCAGAGTTGAGGTTGTTCAGCCTGGAGAAGAGAAAGCTCTGGGGAGATGTTACAGCCTTTCAGTATTTAAAGGGGGACTACAAGATAGAGAAGGACAGATTTTTTAATAGGTCTTGTAGTGACAGGACAAGGGGTAATGGTTTTAAACTGAAGGAGGGTAGATCCAGATTAGATATAAGGAAGACATTTTTTATGATGAGGATGATTAAACACTGGAACAGGTTGCCCAGTGAGGTGGTAGATGCCCTAGAAACATTCAAGATCAGGTTGGATGGGGCTCTGAGCAACCTGCTCTAGTGGAAGGTGTCCCTGCCCAAGGCAGGGGGGCTGGACTAGAAGATCTTTAAAGGTCCCTTCCAACTCAAACCATTCTATGATTCTATGATTATTTTATTTAATAGGAAAAATTCAGCACTTCAACAGTGATTTCAGAATAATTTCCAACTGATTTCAAGCGAGGCCCATAAGTGTCTGTTGTTCTACATTCTGAGCCCTAAAGTAATTAACAATGATTTCTGTCCATGAAATTATTCTCTGATTTTCTTTGAAAACCCTGAGTCAGTAAAGATGCATCAGGCAGTTACAAAGAAAATTCACATCTACTGACAAGTTTCAATACAAAAAGCCCTGGCTATGGTTAGAAAAAAGATAGCTGTGTCACATAGGAGTCACCTGAATTGCCAATTGTGACTGTTGGAACAAGACCATTTTATCGTGAAGAGAGGCAGAGCAGCTAAGCTGAGTAGAAGAACAACATCTGGAATTTACTGCACAGAGACATAAATGAAGAACAAAAGAAAACAGCAGTGCAAAAGGCTCTGGGAATGCAGAAGTGCTATGGAAAGAAATGGTATATAATCTGAGTGAATTGCCCCAATACACACTGCAACATAAACTTATTTTTTACGTACAGCATAAATATGCCATTTAGAAGGAAAGAGTGTTTAGTTTTTTCTTGCTTTCACCCTGCTGTGTCATAATGTTCCTGTTATTTTAAAGAAACAACAGAGTCTTTCTCTTCAGAAAACTTGGGAAAAGGAAAATTAACATTTTGTAAAATGCAACATTGTAGTCATCACACTAAAGCAGTGCCCAGAGAAATATGAATTTTTAATGTGAGTCTTTAAAGAGGTTTTTCTCTGTAAGAAATATTTAGACATAAATTTAACCACATATTTATTCTCAGATGATTGTTATTTTCAACATTTAAAACAGTTTTTTAATAATTAGCTTACTGAGAGTCTGACTGAAACATTTAAGACATGCACAGAGATTCACTCTAAAGAAAAGATTTCTAAAGAAAGATCATCAAAGTAAAGGGCATCTTGAAAGCTGTGAAGTCATTATGAAGTCACTTCTGTCTCCATCCTTCTTTTGATATTGTATTGGTTATCAGGTTCTGACAGCGACATGGGTTTCTAGGTTTTGGATAGCAGGCACATATTTTATCTGAAAACTTAGTTTCTGGAAGAGCTGCAGGCACAGTACTCACCGGTGACTAGGAGTTTGGGTTTGGTTGCAGTGGAGAACTAAGCATGTGCATAAATTCTACATAAAATTGAGATGTAAATCAATCACTCGCCACATCCAGCAGACTTGAATGCTACTAAATCTAAGGGTTGTCCATTATAGAGGACAATTCTTCAATTCAGTTGTTTTAGGCATGACCTACAGCTTTGTATAAAATGTGATATAGTCACAGAATTGTTTTATGACTGACCCTGCCAAGCCAGTGAAGATTATCTTTATTTGCAAGAAATCCAAGTTTGCCAGATTTTTTGCTTCATCTCAGAGAAGGGGTTACTGATCATCCTTTGGATATGATGCTCTCTAAAGAATGGTAACCTGACTGGTCAATAGAATATGCCTGTGCAGATTGCATACTGATAAATGAGGGTGTTCTTTGGTTTTCACAGTTTGGAAATGAATTCTCTCTCACGTCACTACAATAAACTTTTCAGATATTAATTGTGAAGGGATTTCCCTTTGATAGTATTTTTATATTTCTAGTGGTACTCTGTAGGAAATACTCACTGAACCTGGTAGAATAACTCCAAATTCTCTGGATAATTTCCATTATGCTGTGATCTATAACATGATACCATAAAAATATCAAAAATAATCATAAATATGTCAAAAAATACCAAATGTTTTACAACTACAGCAGTTATTTTTAACGCTTCCTCCTAGTAGTGTCATTTTTCATTGGATAGTTTCAGTAAATTGCAAGTCAACATGATCAATTTTGTTTTAATTTTGTTCCATGTTTTCTTGCTCAGTTTTACAGAGTGCAAACCCACCAGCAAAAATAAGGAACCTGCAAAACAGTAGGTTGGATCATTATTTACAAACTCATTCCTACAAAATTTGCACTTTACAGTAACTTCGGTTAAATATATTTGGTCTTGCTCTTTCATCGAATTAGAAAACATGAATAGACTTGCTAAGATCATAGTTGTGAATTTGTGGAAGGGATGTAATTAGTGAGATATCATGAAGCTGGATACACTGAAGGTAATAAACTGCTTATCAGTTAAGAAATTCCTGTAGTCATCTCCTGATGCTGGTCTATTATTTATAATTAACTAATTAGCATACTATTCGTTGTTATAGAGAATTTTTTTCTTCCACAGACCTGTAGATGATGTGTTTGTTGCAGCTAGTTTTAATATACAACATGAGTTATGATTCATTTTCATTTTCTCCATCTACAATTTTTTTGTGCTGATCCTTTCCCATGTGCACATTTCTACATACAAAGTGGCACACACTAATCAGCTAAATATATGTCCTGTTGAATAAGTAATGGTAGGAAGCATTTCATTTGTGACAAATGGAGCCTGCTATGGCTGGGATTTACTGATTATTGTTGTGATATCTCATGTGATAACTAGTATGGTGATTGTACCTGAAAATGGGACTGAGCACAAACTGTCATTTCACCTGAGAATATATAACTGCAGCCAGTTACTGCTGCAACTCATGTTCATTCTTCATTCTGTATTCCTTCACATTTTGTGTCCTGAAGTGTAGGGGTTTGTGTAACAAGATGTTTTACGTTGTGCCATGAAGGGCTGTGGAGTATAAATGCTGGACTTCAGTTTTAAAGGACCTAAACCTTCAGCCAGGGTGGCCTAGTCTTTTACTCTTGAAGGAGACTTTCATACTTACTGAAGGAACTTCTCAAAAGGCAAAAAGGGAAATTTACTGTCTTGAATTTACAAAAAAGTCTGTCATGGGCATACAGGCAGCACTCCTGGCACTGTGTTCTGGTCGTGCTTGGAGGAAGATGAGATGGCTTCTGAAGGTGTGAGGAATCATGCAGTTGGTACTTGTAGATAAACTGTTGTCTTTACCCAGAACTCTACTGGAGAGGGTGGTTTAATTTCAGAAGATAGTTCTGTTGTCAGATGACAGAAGCAAGGGGGTTGTCTTTTGAGGGCAGAAGAACAAACAGCTAGCAAAAGCTTCCCAGGGCACCTTAGCCTTGGCATTGCTTGCAACATCACCTCCTCTATAACATGTTGGGAATCCTGCCCTGCATAAAATGAGGAATCTTGTCAGCAGAACAGGCTCTGAGATGGGCATCACTTGGGGAAGAAAAAGAGAGAAAGGGGGAAAAAAAAAAAAAGTCCCTTAGGTAATAGAGCTCATATCTGTTCCTACAAGTTGTTCCTTGG